GTCAGGATTAATTTAGTTATGTATGTGTTTTAAATGTACTTCTATGTATTGCCAAGATGGATGCTACTGTGAATTAGAAATGCTGTGCAGAATGTTTACACCATGAGGCTGTGATTAAGTGAACTTGAGAAAAGTAAGATAAGGTTTGCTCTTGCTGGGAACAGAAGGGAGTAGCCAGTCTCAGCAAGAAAAGATAAGCAGATGTGAAGAGGCTTTCGTTTTGACTAGTTCCTGAATTGTAGCTCGCTGTAGTAAGACGTGTCTGTTGAATGTGCTTAGTAAACTTAGTTCTTTTGTAACTCGAAGCCTGCAGAGTCCTTATTTTACAACTCAGTGTCTGCTGATCTAGCATTCCTTCCGCTGGGCATCGTTTGAACTCTGACAGCTTATAGAGCTGGGTATGCTTAGCCTGCAGAAGAGATGGCTGAGAGGAGACATGATGGCCATGTATAAATATGTGAGGGGAAGACATAGGGAGAAGGGAACGAGCTTGTTTTCTGCTGCCTTGGAGGCTAGGATGCAGAACATTGGCTTCAAACTACAGGAAAGGAGATTCCATCTGAATATTAGGAAGAACTTCTTTGAAGGCTTTTAAAAGAGGCTGGATGGCCATCTGTTAAGGTGGTTTGAATGCGATTTTCCTGCTTCTTGGTAGGGGGTTGGACTGGATAAGCCCACTAGGTCTCTTTCAAATCTATGATTCTGTGATTCTATGATTCAGCCCCCTGGGTTAAAAAAAAACCCCAAAAGATTAGCAGTTCATTTCACCAGTTCTTTAAGAACCTGTCGTATAGTGGGTCACGGAAACATGTAAGAAGGTACTGTATTAAAGTCCAATTGTGGATTTGTGCAGGGAAGATTATTGAAAAAAATTAGATTTTTAGCTGAATTTCGCACTCTTTATAGCACAGCCTTTAATTTTAAAAGTTTGGCTCTTTGTTTACAGTAACATTTTGAAAAATGTTCTGCATGCTCCAAGGCATTCTTAAAATGCAGTAATCCCAATATTCAAACCTAAATTAGGGAGAGCCATCAATTTGAAGGTAGGTAGCTGCTTTTTTTTTTTTTTTTGGTTGTGTCAGGAGCGACTTGAGAAACTGCAAGTCGCTTCTGGTGTGAGAGAATTGGCCGTCTGCAAGGACGTTGCCCAGGGGACACCTGGATGATTTGATGTTTTTATCATCCTTGTGGGAGGCTTCTCTCATGTCCCCGCATGAGGAGCTGGAGCTGATAGAGGGAGCTCATCCGCCTCTCCCCAGATTCGAACCTGCGACCTGTCAGTCTTCAGTCCTGCCAGCACAGGGGTTTAACCCACTGCGCCACAGAGGGCTCCTAGAGGTCACCATTGAGGTAATTTTGATGGCTTTGAAAGGCTTTGTCCTGAAGGATTTTTCTGTGTTCAGCCCTGCTTCCAGCAACTGATATGAGAGCGGGTGCACAAGCCACGTTCCCTTCTAAACCGCCCTAGCGGCCTCTAGCCAAGAGCGACTGTAAACTGCTGATGTGGATTTTTTACCCACCTGCTGACTGTGTCAAATGGGCAGTTTGTTGCATTGTGTGATGGTGGGAAAAACACGCTGAAAAACCTTTGGTAATCCTGATAAAATGCTGGCTTTTAAAATAATAAGTCTGTTTTCTGCTAGTTTGACATAATGTCAACTGTAGTTGCCCCCAGTAAAAATGGCCATTCCTCATAGCCATGAGTATATTGCTTGGAGTTATTTGGCTTCTCAGTTTTGGGTTTTCAGAAATAATAATAATAATAATAATAATAATAATAATAATAATAATAATAACAACACTTTATTTATATACCGCTCCATCTCCCTGAGAGACTCAGAGCGGTTCCCAAGTAATATCACAAAACATAAAGAGTATAAACAACATAACCATAAGATTAACAAACAAAATATAAACATAAAACGGTTTGGGACCACCCTACCTGCGTGACCGCATCTCTGTCTACGAACCCACACGTTCACTCCGGTCATCTGGAGAGGCCCTGCTCGTGATCCCGCCCGCGTCGCAAGCGCTTTGGTGGGGACTTGAGACAGGGCCTTTTCTGTTGTGGCCCCCCGACTCTGGAACACCCTCCCAAAAGATCTTAGACAGGCCCCTTCGCTAGCAGTCTTCAGAAAGAACTTGAAGACCTGGCTGTTCCGATGTGCCTTTTCAGATTAGGAACCCCCAATACCAAGTCCTAGAAGCACTTTAGTAGAACTAAGATCACTGCACACCGCACACTGCACTTACTTTATAATCCTACATACCTCCTGCCACATCAGCACTTTTAATCTTGTACCCATTACTCTGGCCTGGCCCAGTTTTATAGTGTCTTGATGTCTCGATGTATTGTTATTGCTGTTGTTTATTCTGCTTAACTGTTTTTAATTTGCTTTAGGTATTGTATTGTTGTATTGTGTTTTTGAGGCCTTGGCCTATGTAAGCCGCATCGAGTCCTCCGGGAGATGTATATAGATAATAATAATAATAATAATAATAATAATAATAATAATAATAATAATAATAATTGTCGCAGCTATACATATATTAAAAGTAATCCTGCCTGTTCAAGGCAATTTAAAAATTTAAAAGGCCAGGCCAAGATTTGTAAGCCCAAAAATTCTAGGGGGCCCGGGAATTAAGTGCAATGCTATGGCAAGCAACAATAATATTAGGTACGGTTCTGTGGCTGTTCATTCCGGGGCCGATTAGAGGAAGTAATCTGGGTAACTGGTAGGAAGAATAAGGCCATATTAGACAATGTGTGGGGCTGAGTTAGAACTGGTCATTTTCAAAGGCTTGTTGAAACCACCAGGTCTTCAAGCTCTTACGAAAGGAGGGGAGGGATGGGGCCTGTCTTATTTCCCTTGGAAGGGTGTTCCAGAGGCGGGGGCCACCACTGAGAAGGCCCCTCTCTCGTCCCCACCAACTGCGCTTGAGACGGTAGTGGGACCGAGAGGAGGGCCTCCCCAGAAGATCTTAGAGTTCGCGCCGGTTCATAGAAGGAGATGCGATCACAGAGATAGGCGGGGCCCGAACCGTTTGGGTTGAGTTTGTGGTCTTATACAGTACAGGACATCCATCTGCCAAAAAAGAGGAAAGAAAGAATAATATAATATTTAAAATGAAGAACAATTTTAACCAACATAAATTTCACAGTATTTCAGTGGAAGACCCCAGGGGCCATTCAGTCCAACCCCCTTCCACCATGCAGGAAAAGCACAATCAAAGCACCCCCTGAGCAGTGAAGTAGGTTTTTGGAAGGAAGCAAAGCTAGGGGGAAAGGATCTGTGTGGTAAGGGAGGCGGGAGGAAAGACTTTTGGTGGCAAGGGAGGAGCAGGAAAGAGGAGGAAAACCTTGGAGAAAGAGGAGGACGAAAGTGTGGAGCCCCTCAGTATGCTTCGCAGAGCACACTTTGAGAACCACTGATCTATAGGGTAACAAGATTCCCATCCTTGCCTACTTGTAATGTGGAGCGTATGTTTCTTTTGAGATCTAAAAGAGCTTTGTTAATTATAAATGGTTATAGCTGAGAAGTTAAGAGAAAGATGTGCCTTTCTTTCCTTACTTCCTTTTTTTCTGGCTGTGTTTCTTTCTTTCCAATTTTTTTCCTGTTTTCCATCTAACGTGTACATGAGTGATTACTATGATGCATGTGGATTGCAATTAAGTCAGGTTGAGTGTTATACTGAAAACATCTAACAAAGGAGATTTCTTTTTTTAAAAAAGTTTGCATTCAAAAGAGTGCATTTATCTATATAAATAAAAATGTATGTTTGTTTGTGGGATTAACATAACTCAAAAACCACTGGATGAATTTACACCAAATTTGGACACAATACACCTATCAGGCCAACAAGTGACCATCACTCATAAAAACACTGAAAAACACAGTGGAAGAGACTTAAAAGCCAAAAAATAAAAATACATTCAGTGTACAGGGAGCATACATGTGCAGGTACAACTGTACCAGGAGCTCCAATTTTGTTTGCTTTGCATTGAATGTTTGTTGTAGTCCTAAGTTTCAGGGACTCTGCAGATAGGTGGCTTCTTTTGGCTGCAATCATAGGGCAAGCCACCTGTCAATTATAGTTAGGTTCCCTAGTCCTGCCCCCTTTTTGGGCTTTGGTAGGGAAATGAGCCATTTTGTGTTTAGTTTTCAGCCAGGGTAGCCAATGTATAGGATGTGTGTTGCTTCCCCTGTACAAAGGCTTCAACCTTTAAGAATTCCAGGGTCACAGAAACTCGTAACAGAATCTCCAGGGGAGAACAGCTTTAATAGTCTCCTAAGAACTCCAGGGAAGCCTTCCACAGCCTTGAGAGTTTCCAGGAAGACAGCTTTAAGGTCCAGAGAACTCCAGCTGGAGAACATCCATTGCCTTGCTGGTAGGTCCTCTCAGCGCTCGAGAAGCAGTTTGGCCTGGCAGCGGAACCCACACCAGTGAGGGTTGGATTTTAGTCAGCCTTGGGAGAAGTTAAAAAAGGGGAATTTTCCTTTAAAGAAAGTTATTGAAGTTAGTGCCTGTCCCCTGTGGGCAAGATTGAGAGAACTAATTCTTTATCAAGAAAGCTTTGAAGTACCTGTTTGATTCATTAATAAAAGACTTTGTTGTATTTTTCAAGCCATATCAAGACTCTTTTGTAGTGGAAACCTCTGATAACTTCTTCTTAGGCCCCTGGCTTTCCGCTGGGCAAAGGTTACACATCCTATATTTAAAGCCAACCAAATGCAGGCCCAGTGGCGACAGAACATATACACATATACACAAATATATATACACACACAAAACACATGTACACAGACTGGGCCACAGCAATGCGTGGCAGGGGACGGCTATTTGATATATAAAATGTGGATTATCTTGTGGAAATAAATTCAGCTCATCTACGTCTTTGCTTAGTTATAAAAAATAATGAGCAATTGCTATGTCATCTGAATTCAGTTTTTTAGAATTTTAATGTTTATATTTTCTTCTTTTCTTTTTTTATTTCACAGTGTGACACCAATGCAAGTTACCTTCGAGCTGCCCGAGCAGGCAACCTAGAAAAGGCTCTTGATTATTTAAAAAATGGAGTGGACATCAACATTTGCAACCAGGTTGGAAAAATATTCAGCTGATTCTTCTTTTGCTTCTAGTGCTTACGTGTACTTACTTTTTAACAATGTCAAAAGATAACTGAAGTCTTAGATAACTGAAACGAATTATTCTGTATGTTCAAGGTGGATAATTAGCATCATCCAACTTTAAATTTTATGTACTGTAAAAGAAATAAAATTAATTCCCACTAAAATTGCTCACCACTTTAAGTATGTAGCATACAAAGAATGAGTGAAAAGGAACCTATCCAACAGAAGATGCAGAGAGGCTGTCCACTTAGTTGGAAAAAAGTAGCAATATTAGAATGACAACATGCATATAATTGTGTTGTAAACTGGCTCAACAGTCCACAAATGCTTCTTTTCTCAGACCCGCATCTTGGTTATTAGTTTGTGCAATACATCAAAGTTTTTTTCTAGAGATTATGCCCCAAAACTCTACTTAATGCTGATACTTATCAACAAATTATACTTATAGCTGAGTTTGTAGGACCCAAGTAGGGTTGTTGATAACTTGGAGGTCTCTCTTTCATGGGTGATCATAAGTCAAAGTCAATTAAGCAGCAGTTGACAACAGCAAAAGCAAATTGCCCAGGAATGGCATCACCCTGGCCCCTTCTACACTGCCATGTAATCCAGATTATCAAAACAGATACTCTGGATTTTATAAGGCAATGAAGAAGTGGGCTAAGATTCACATTATCTGCTTTGAACTGGATTATATGAGTCTACGCTGCTATATAATCCTGTTCAAAGCAGATAATCTGGATTTAAATGGCAGTGGAGAAGGACCTAAGATTCTCTAGATCTTTCAGGATGGCTCTATGGTGAACCTCTGACAGACGTTGACCTTAGATGCAATTGGAAAGGCCTGGAGATTCCTAGAGAGAACATATTAATTGAATCTGGGAATAATCAAATGCACAAAAACTTGGAAATGTGAATGTCCAACTATATTTGAAATGCCACTCTTTGGGTTCAAAGGAAAGAATCAGTATTTTGAGCCATCTTTATTTGAACGTTTTGCTTATAAAATACTTATGGATGAATCCATGTGAAATGAAAGTAATGTATATACTCAAGTATAAGCCTAGTTTTTCAACCCTTGTTTTAGGCTGAAAAAGTCCCCCTCGGCTTATACTCAAGTTAAGGTTATTTATTATTTTACTCTATTATTATTGTTGTTGTTGTTGTTGCATTTATTATTTTACTCTATTATTATTATTATTATAGTTATCATTTTACTTTATTATTACATTTATTATTTTATTTTATCAGTGTCATCATTACATTTATTATTTTACTCTATGATTGTTATTATTCCATTTATTATTTCACTCTATTATTATTCCATTTATTAGTTCACTGTCTTTATTATTAATGGAAGGATACGTAAGCACATTTACATTGAAGAAGGTTAGGGCACACTTATCTTAAATTACAATTTTATATAAATACTCAAAAACATTTAACCTACTGACACCTCAATTAGATGCCTCAATTAATGTAATTTTATTGGTATCTATTTTCATTTTGGAATGTACCAGTAGCTTCTGAATTTCTCCCCCTCGGCTTATACTTGAGTCAATCCGTTTTCCCAGTTTTTGTGGCAAGATTAAGTGACTCGGCTTATATTCGGGTCGGCTTATACTCGAGTATATATGGTATATTCTAAAATAATATCCCACAGAAGTATACAGAGGAATTGTACTTTAACTGGTGTCTTTGTATTATGCTTAAACCTGCTTAGAAGGGAATAAATCCATTTGAATTCAAGCAAACCTTATATATAATATTGCTGTGGATTGTATTATTATATATCCAAAGGATGAGTAGACTAGATTTGTAGCATTTTATACTACAACGGCACTCTTTCACTCTAGCAATTGGTGGTTAGAGCAATTGAGAAGGTCTTTCTTTCTTTCTTTCTTTCTTTCTTTCTTTCTTTCTTTCTTTCTTTCTTTCTTTCTTTCTGCAAGTTCTCACTATGTGGGAATGTGACCTTCAGGCCTCTTGACATATCCCTTGCTGTTCTTGGCATTGTGCATCAATCATTCTCATTCCTCTTTGTTTTTATCAGAATGGGTTGAACGCCCTCCATCTCGCCTCCAAAGAAGGCCATGTCGAAGTTGTTTCAGAACTGATACAGAGAGGTGCCAATGTGGACGCAGCAACAAAGGTTGGTAGCTGATATCTACATAGTCTACGCTTTTCCTATGGTGATGCCACACTTGCAGAGTGTCAACAACTGGACTGCAGACAGCGAGTCTTTAATCCAGCCCTGTAGTCAGGCACAGTAAGCAGAGGGAAAGAAAAACATAGGGTTGTTTTAGGTTTTTCCGGGCTATATGGCCATGTTCTAGAGGCATTTTACCCTGACGTTTCGCCTGCATCTGTGGCAAGCATCCTCAGAGGTAGTGAGGTCTGTTGGAACTAGGAAAATGGGTTTATATATCTGTGGAATGACCAGGGTGGGACAAAGGACTTTTGTCTGCTGGAGCTAGGTTGAATGTTTCAGAAATGCTGGACCACTCTCACAACCACCATGTCAGACTACACAGAGAAGCCATTGAAATCCACAAGCATGTGAACAATTTCAACAGAAAGGAAGAAACCATGAAAACTAACAAAATCTGGCTACCAGTATTAAAAAACTCAAAAATTGCAACAGCAAATCAACAGAGAGTAAATAATCAGGCACATCAAATCACCTCTCAACAAAAGATTCCCCCAGGCACTTCCAAGCCATTAAATGCTAATCAAGGTGGTCAGTTGAAACAATCGTGCTTGTGACGCAGGTGGGATCGTGAGCAGGGCCTCACCAGATGATCAGAGAGATCGTGTGGGTTCATATACGGAGATGTGGTCACGCAGGTAGGCTACCACTGCTGACAGAGGCCTCTTCTACACTGCCATATGAAATCCAGTTCAAAACTGGTAATCTGGATTACTTGATTTGATAGACTAGATTATATGGCAGGGTAGAAGGGACCCCAGTGAATTCTGTAGTAGTTGAGTACCTATTAGTAGTTGAGTACCTATTGAGCGGGATGAGAATGGAGAAATCAGAGTGATAGAGTGCCTGTTTGAATTCTATCCAGCTTGTAGACTTAAGGAAGACAGGTCAAACCTGACTCATAGAAACATCCTTATTAGGAAGTTATAGCACAGTAAGACCACGGTATCCATGAGAGACAAATTGATGAAAAAAGACAAGCAAAGTATTAAAATTTTATACCAAAAAATATTAGAATGGGAAATTGAAGAGGAAAGCATCAAAGCTTGCATGGTGAAATGGGCAGCGGGTATAGGTCATACCATACAATTAGACAAGTGGGAAGAAATTTGGAACAAAAATTTGAAATATACTTATTCAATGGATTTAAAAGAAAACTGGATAAAAATGTTTTATCAGTGGTATCTCATTCCACAAAAATTGTCCAAATTTCAAAAAAAAACAAAAACAAAAAAAACAAAAACAAAACAGCAACAGTAGGTGCTGGGAATGTAAAGCACACACAGGGTCCTTTCTACATATGTGATGGGACTGTGTAAAAGCAAGAGACTTCTGGAAAGACATTTATAAAACAATACAGAAAATTTTGAAAATAAGGTTCAAGTTTAAGCCAGAATATTTTTTATTAGGTATGTTTGTCTTTGCATTAGACCAAAATCAAGATTAAAATTTTCACTTATATGATGACAGCAGCAAGATTAACTTAACGCAAAACTTTGGAAACAGGAAATGATTCCAACTAGAATATCATGGTTATTACAATTATTAAAATTACTGGATATAATGAATATGGACACACTGACTTATCAAATTTCATGCCATTCTCCAAATCCTAAAAAGAAAACAGACTGGACATTGCTAAAATGTTTTTTGAAAAATGAAAATCTGGAAATAAAAGTGAAAGAAACTAATATATGAAATACACTGAACAATTGAATTTATATACCAAGAGGACTAGCAAGGTATAAATCAATTCTTTTTCTTTTGATAATAATTCTTTGAGGCAAAGACAGGAAGTACTAAGTTTTTCTTTTTAATTCTTTGTCGTCATCGTCCCCGGTTTCAGTTTTGGTGTTTTTTGTTTTCTTCCTTGCCCACACCTTTTTTTGGACTACAGTTTTATCCTTCAACCCTACTTTCATATATACTTATAATGCCCCCCCTCTTTTATTGTATCACTAGTAACTTTCCCGAATAAAAATTATCAGTAAAAAAAAGAATTCTATCTAGCTTGTAGACTTAAGGAAGACAATTCAAACCTGACTCATAGAAACATCCTTATTTGGAAGTTATAGCACAGTAAGACCACGGTATCCAGGAGAGATATGTTCCCATCTGGAGCCCAATTACCTGAAAATACAGATACAACTGAACACCATTAAATTAGCTGGTTTCCATTCCCAGCATACTATGGAGTTACTTTGAGGGACCTAGCAAAATACTAGAGATGATACCTCTCCAATCTAGGTCCTCCAATGCACCTCCATAGAATTGCCTAGGTGTATGTAAGTGGATATGGGTTATGTGATAACAAGGATTTTACTGTGCGTTCTTCAGAAACAAGTCCAGGGTAGACATTATAATTGTTATAGGCTTGTTAAAAACAGACATGAGGGCTGCCAAACAATAACCTGAAGTATCTACAGTAAACCTTGGGGCTTCCTCTGCTACAACTGCCTTAGGTGATCTTAGATTAGGATGAAGAATGTTTTAAGTCTCCTCAAAATAATGATTTCAGGCTTTACCAGCAACATGCCTTAGGGCATACCTCAAAATCACTAGTTTTTAAGAAAAGGTCGACTGGTCTCCCAAAGAAAATGAATGCCTCACAGTCATAATCTATCATTACAGATAATGCCGGGCTAGGTGAACCAGTGGTTCAATTCAGCATAAGGCTGCATCATAATGTTTAGTCTCTTTCATTTAAATTGTGTTTTTTTTTTCAAAAAGACTTTTAAAAACCAGTTTTGTGTTAAAAGAGTCTTTCTGACATTTTCCCTTTTCATTAAGGAATGTTTTGATCAACACAAAGCAGGGATAGAGAATGGGGTGTTATCCTGATTTGAAGACTGCTTATTATAATCTATATACATAAAAATGTAATGTTCGTTTGTGGGATTAACAGAACTCAAGAACCACTGGGGGAATTGACACCAAATTTGGACATGATACACCTATCAACCCAATGTATGTCCACTCAAAAAAAAAACACAACAAAAAGCAGAAAGGACTTCTAAACTGCATATCCACAAAGGAGAATGCATGCCCACAAAGAGAACCATGGCCATGCTCCCTCTTCCTCATGGAGAAACAGCCAGCCGTTAAAGCATGAGGAGCCAGGCGCGTGTGCACGGCCACACACACACACAAGCCAGAGTGGGCACCATGGGAGTGGAGGTGGAGGCTTGCCGCATGGAGCCCCTTCTCTTTCCCTGCTATGTCAGGAGGGCGGTCTCCTCCTCCTCTTTTCCCTGTTGGAAGAGGAAGGGTCGGACGAGTGGCAGTGGCACCAGCGGAGCCCCCAGGCAAGGAAGAAGGGGGGGAGGAGGAGGAGGCGAGGAAGGTTGATGGTGCTTGCATGAAGGACTTTCCTTCTTTCCCTCACTCCCTTCCGTCCTGTCCCTCCTTCCTTCTTCCTTTCCTTCCTTTCCTCCTTCCCTTCCTTTCCTCCTTCTTTCCCTTTCTTCATTTCCTTCCCCTTCATTTCCTTCCCTCCCTCCTTTCTTCACCCCTCCTTCTTTTCCCTCCATCCTTCCTTCTGCTTCCCTTCCTTCCTTCCTTCCTTCCTTCCTTCCTTCCTTCCTTCCTTCCTGTCCCTCCTTTCTTTTCCTTCCATCCTTCTTTCCCTCCTTCCCTCCCTCCTTCCTTTTTCCTTCCTTTCCTCCCTTCCTTCCTCTTCTTCCTTTCCTTCTTTCTATGTAAGATATAAAAACAATATTAAATGGAAGGGACAGTCAAGAAGAAGAGAAGGAGGGAAAGAGGGAAGGAAAAAGGAGGGGAAGGAAGGAGGAACAGGAAGGGAGAGGAAGGAAGGAGGAAGGAAGGAAGAAAGGAAGGAAGAGGAGAGGGAGAAGGAGGAAGGAAAGAAAGAAAGAAAAGAAAGAAGAGAGCAAGGAAAGAGAAGGAAATAAAAAAGTGAAAGGAAAAAGAGAGGGAAGGAGGGAGAAGGAACGAAAGAGAAGGAAGGAAGGATGTAACCAAAAAGCAAAGAAAGGGAGGAAAGAAACAGGTAGAGATGGAAGAAAGAAGAGAAACAGGGAAAGAAAAAGAGGAAAGGAAGGAGAGAAAGAGGGAGGGAAGGGTGGCCACAGCAACGCATGGCGGGTACAGCTTGTGTGTATGTGTGTGTGTGTGTGTGTGTGTGTGTATATATATATACACACACACACACATACATACATACATACATACACACACACACACACACACATGCATGCCTAAGGGAGTAATAGCAATAACATACACATGTACTTAAAATAACAAAATAGCAGAAAACAGTGGAAATCCAAAGACCAAAAGTAAATTGAAAATGAGTCTGACTGTTGGCCATTTTAGGTGGGACTGATGGAAGATGTAGCCAAAGCAATCTGGAAGCCACTACACTTCTTACACTTGGCTTTAACCATGGCTGAGGAATCTTTGGCCCTCAAGATCTTTTCTATCTCAACTTCCAGAAGCTCAACCCAGCCATATGTTAAATGATTGTCTTAGTTATAGCCTACATTTTATGCCCTAATATATCTGGATGGCCAAGAAGTTCCCTCTGGTATACATGGCCATGGAGAAACAAATGAAGAAGGGGCAGGAGGCCAACATATTTGCATATTCAGTCCTGCATGCCAGTAGACTGCATTCAAATTAGCCTGATGGATGGAAAGACATGAGCAGTGAAAGGTTTTGTTATAGCTGTAGAGTTTTCCAGCCAGCAAAGTTGTCGAAGCTCGCAGGTGTTGCTTATACCTGCTGTTCATACACTTAGGTGCACTTCTACGCACTGGCATTTTAAAAATGAGATAAATGTTGCCAATTACAGAAACTTGCTGCCTTATTTGCCTTCTTGGTACTGAATTGTTCATTTGAATTGCACTGTCTGCAAGCATTAAGGGCAGACAAATGAACAGAAACTCCATTGCGTTGTACCATTTCAGACTGCATAAAATATTCTTCATGCATATTAAACTTGTGGGGCAAGAAAAAGACCATATAGCCTGAAAAACCTACAACAACCCAGTGTTTCTGGCCACGAAAGCCTTCGACAATCTGTTGAAGCTGTCATTCATTGAATCTGGGTTGTGGTAGGTTTTTCCCAGCTATATGGCCATGTTCTAGAGGCATTTTCTCCTGATGTTTCGCCTGCATCTATGGCAAGCATGCTCAGAGGTAGTGAGGTCTGTTGGAAGTAGGAAAATGGGTTTATATATCTGTGGAATGACCAGGGTGGGACAAAGGACTTTTGTCTGCTGGAGCTAGGTGTGAATGTTTCAACTCTACGTGGGGTTGCCTTTGAAGACTGCTCGGAAACTTCAACTAGTCCAGCGAGAAGCAGCCAGATTGCTCACCGGAGCGGCGTACAGGGAGCACACCACCCCCCTGTTGCGTCAGCTCCACTGGCTGCCGATCCAATTCCGAGCACAATTCAAAGTGCTGGTTTTGACCTACAAAACCCTATAGGTTCCGGCCCAGTGTATCTGTCCGAACGGATCTCCCTCTACATCCCACCTCGAAGTTTAAGATCTTCTGGGGAGGCCCTGCTCTCGACCCCGCCAGTGGCACAAGTGAGACTGGCGGGGACGAGGAGCAGGGCCTTCTCAGTGGTGGCCCCCCACCTGTGGAACTCACTCCCCGGGGAGATCAGATCGACGACTTCCCTTCTAGCGTTTAGGAAAAAACTAAAGACCTGGATGTGGGACCAAGCTTTTGGCCATGCTGACAACTGATTAAAGGACCTATCGATAGACAAGGACAATGGAATGGAATGGATATATGGACTCTGATATATGGACTCTGACATGAGATAGTTTTTATGATTTTAATAGGTATTGATGTTTCATTTTAATTGTTGAACTGTTATATTTTGTATTGTTTGTTGTGTGATTTGGGCATCTAATTGTGCCTCCTTTGTAAGCCGCCCTGAGTCCCCCCCGGGGTGAGAAGGGCGGGGTATAAGTAGATGAAATAATAAATAATAATAATAACTGACCACCTTGATTAGCATTTAATGGCTTGGAAGTGCCTGGGGAGAATCTTTTGTTGAGAGTGATTTGATGTGCCTGATTATTTACTCTCTGTTCATTGAATGTTGGGTCACAGGTGGTGGATTTTTGTTGTAACTAGACCTAATCATTCTACCTTGTAGGAATATGATTTGGGTATACCTGGCAATCTTGCCCTTAGAAATCTCTATTGTGGAATTGTTTGGAAAAAAACAGTGTTCTGTGTCTGGTTTAAATTTTAGCATTACATATGACCTGTTGGATTCTAGGACAGGCCCCTTCTCCTAGCAAAAATAGTAAGTTAGCCAAGACATTAAAATAACCAAATAGACATACTTTGATCAGGATAGTGTTTCCCTACAGATCCAAGAAACTGAAAGTACCATTTCAAGGTGCCTGTAAGACTGACACAAAAGGAAAAGCTAATAATCTCACACGTCACATAGAAAACTGCTGTGTGTTACTGGAACACAACATATTCTAGAATACTCACCTCTCGAAAGAGCCAGGTTACTGTAGTGACCTAAATATACACTAAATCTCTATGGAGACCAGGGTTTAAATCGCCACTCCGCCATGAAAATGCACAGGGTGACCTTGACCAAGGCACACTCTCTCAGCTCAGAGGAGGACAAAGACAAATCTTTTCCAAATATATATATTGCCAAGAAAGCCCTGTGATTGCTTCAACTTAGAGTTGCCATAATCTACTTGAAGGGGCACTATTGTAAGGGAACACGGGTTTAGGGTGCAGGGTCCCTTTTCAAAGAAGTCCACAGAGTCCAAAAGGTTCAGGTAAGACAACGTTTATTCAAGCTGATCAGCATGAGGCGAACAGACAGCAGTTTTGCAAGTGCTCCTACAGACTGCTGCGCCCTCCTCTGTTTTTGAAAACTTTATATACCCTCAGGTAAACAATAATATTTTTGTCATTGAAAGTACTTTGACCTTTACTCTTCCTTTACTCTTCCTGTCCTATCAACCTTTTCGCACCTGCAGACTTTGTGCTTAACCACAAACCAACTTCCTATGTAAGCTCACTAATATAGCGACTTTTCAAAAAGCCAAAACCTTGAACTTTGTATGATCTCTATACTAACATTTCGGTTAATTTTTAAATATTTCTTATGCCTCCTTCACTGTGACAATATTATTTCATAATTTGTTCAACTTTGATCCTAAGAATGTAATTTGTGTGTAGGTATGTATGCTTGTGTTGTTCTAAATCTGTAACAAGCGGCTTGCCAAAATACATAGTTAGGAAGACCCTGGTAATACCTGGCTATATATAGAATCTCTGAAGGTAAAACCCAGAATCCTGTATGCTGCCAACATTTTTGACAGTGTCTTCCTGCTTGCATCTGCTGTTGGGGCACTTTGACATTTTTCACATTCCGTCCTCTTCTCTAATTTCAGAAAGGAAACACAGCTTTGCACATAGCGTCTCTAGCGGGGCAGACCGAAGTGGTGAAAGTGCTGGTGACAAATGGGGCCAATGTCAATGCACAGTCTCAGGTAAAGTTGCTTTGCTTGGATGTCTCAGTGCTAAAAGGTGTGAGCTGATGTGTGCTGCTTATATCTATTATGTCCTTTTCTTTACTTATGCAGTATGTGTTGATGACTGGACACATTCATGTGATTATTGCTTGTGGAAAGTTTCTGAGCAGGGTGATTTGCAAAATGGCATTTCATTTCATTACATGCCTTCCATTTTCTGGTTGAGGGAGAATTTGGGCATGGTCCTTATTTATCTCTACCCAAATCTGTTCCTTCCCAAATCTCCTTACCCAAGTGAGAAATGAAGATGTCATCTATATGAATACAGATGTTGTCTAGAATTTGTGAGATAAAACCTATACCTCTCCATGGTTGGGAGAATTTAAAAAGGATTGTTCGAGTATCCCTAGTGAACCAAGTGCCTCTTTCAGTATTTCTCCTACTGTTATCGAAACAACAACCTTAAACAGTCATCTAGCATAATGAAATAGTACTGGATTTAGTAGTAGTCTTAGAGCAGTGGTTCTCAACCTGGGGTCCCCAGATGTTTTTGGCCTACAACTCCCAGAAATCCCAGCCAGTTTACCAGCTGTTAGGGTTTCTGGGAGTTGTAGGCCAAAACACCTGGGGACCCACAGGTTGAGAACCACTGTGTTAGAGAATATACCCAAGAGTGCAAGAAAAACACAGTGTTTGTGTGAAGCTGTGTCTGTAAGCTATTCCTCAGATATTTGCGTGACTTCAGATAGTTGAAGATCCTAGAATGAACAAGAAGACATTGCAATGGTTAAAAAAGGTAAAGGTTTTCCCTTGACATTAAGTCTAGTTGTGTCTGACTCAGAGGGTGGTGCTCATCTCCATTTCTAAGCCGAAGAACCAGCGTTGTCCGTATACACCTCCAAGGTTATGTGGCCAGTATGACTGCATGGAGTACTGTTACCTTCCCACATAAGCGGTACCTATTGATCTACACACATTTGCGTGTTTTCAAACTGCTAGGTTGGCAGAAGCTGGGACTAACAGCAGGAGCTCACCCCGCTCCCCAGATTTGAACTGCTGACCTTTCGGTCTGCAAGTTCAGCAGCTCAGCAGATTAAACCGCTGCACCACCAGGGGCTCAATGAAAAATAAAAATTGTCGCTATAACACATATATATTTAAAGTAATCCTGCCTGTTCAAGGCAATTTAAAAGGCCGGGCCGAGATTAGTGCAAGCTAGAGGGCCCAGGAATTGAGTGCAGTGCTATAGCAGGCAATAACAATAATAGGTATGGGTCTATGGCTGTTCATTTCCGGGGCCTATTAGGGAAATGACCTGGGTAATTGGTAGAAAGAATAAGGCCATATTCAACAATGTTTAGGGCTGAGCTAGAACTAGTTGTTCTCAAAGGCTTGTTGAAACTACCAGGAATTCAAACTCTTACGAAAGGAGGGGGGAATGGGGCCTAATTTCCCAGGGGAGGGCATTCCAGAAGCAGGGGCCACCACTGTATGTTGTATGTATGACTAGGTATGACTATGTGTTAATTGTGTTATGTGTTAAATGTTTTGATACGGCCAATAGGCCAATCAATAAAACGTATCTATCACTGAGAAGACTCTCTCTAATCCCCACCAACCTACTTGTGACGGTGGTGGGACCGAAAGGAGGGCCTCCCCGGAAGATCTTAGAGTTTGCGCCAGTTCATAGGAGATGTGACCGCGGAGATAGGCGTGGCCCGAACCGTTTAGGGCAGTAGTTCTCAACCTGTGGGTCCTCAGATGTTTTGGCCTTCAACTCTCAGAAATCCTAACAGCTGGTAATCTGGCTGGGATTTCTGGGAGTTGTAGGCCAAAACAACTGGGGACCCATAGGTTGAGAACCACTGGTTTAGGGCTTTATAGGTCATGACCTGCATCTTGAATTTGGCTCGACAACTTACCAGCAGCCAATGAAGCTGTTTTAATAGGGGCATTGTATGCTCCCTATAGTTTGCTCCAGTAAGGAGCCTGGCTGCTGCCCGTTGTACCAGTTGAAACTTCTGGGCTGTCTTCAAAGGCAGCCCCACATTGAGCGCATGGCAATAGTCCGGTCTGGATGTAACCAAGGCGTGGATCACCCTGGCCAAGTCAGACTTCACGAGGTATGGTCACAGCTGGCGCACAAGTTTGTGCAAAGGCCCTTCCGCCCACCGCCAACACCTGAGCATCAAGCGACAGCGTTGAGTCCAGGAGGACCCCCAAGCTACGAACCTGTGCTTTCAGGAGGAATGTAACCCCGTCGAGCACAGGTTGCCATCCAATACCCCGGTTGGCCCCGCGACTGACCAGGAGGACCTCTGTCTTGACTGGATTAAGCTTCAACCTGTTAACCCTCATCCGCATCGAGTCCTTCGGGAGATGCTAGCGGGTTACAAATAAAATAATAATAATAATAATAACAATAATAATAATAATAATAATAATAATAATAATAATCCAGTCCATCACAGGAGGTTGGACTGGATGCCTCTTGTGGTTTCTTCCAGCTGTATAATTCTATAATTGACACTTAGGAGACGGACCCGATGGGAGGGAACAGCCTGACAGTTTTATCCACTGTTTCCTCCTTTACCCCTGCCTGTCTGATGAGGTCTGTAATAATAATAATAATAATAATAATAATAATAATAATAATCTTTATTTTTACTCCGCCACCATCTCCCCAATGGAGACTCGGAGCAGCTTACGTGAGGCCAAACACAAATTACAGCAGCCTAAAACTGAAAACGCAACCCGAAAACGCAGACAGTAAACAATAACATCATAATTACATAAAACATGTAAAAACATAACAGTATAAAATTACAATAAACACAATCACAGTGACAATGGGCGGGCTACACGTAAAATTTAAAAGAAAGGAAAAAAACTGATTAAAACTAATTAAAACACAAGTGAGGTAAGAAAGAAGCCCGTTATTTGAAGAGGAGGGCTCATTATAGCGGAGATTGTGGAATCAAGCTTTCCCATACAAAAAGGGGGGGGGGGGCTCCAATGACAGAATGTTGAGGCTGAGCAGTAGTATGAGGTTGTATACCTACTCACCAAAGGAGCAGCGGAAGAGCCAGGTTTTAAGGTTCTTTTTAAAGATTTCAAGGGTAGGGGCTTTCCTAATCTCTCCAGGTAGTGAGTTCCAGAGTCGAGGGGCCACAGAGGAAAGAGCTCTCTCCCTTGTACTTACAAGGCGAGCTTTAGAAACTGGCAGGGGTGAAAGAAGGGCCTCCCTAGAAGATCGGATGGCCCGAGCTGGTTCATGGAGGGAGATACGGTCACGAAGGTAGGCGGGTCCCAAACCGTTTAGGGCTTTATAGGTGATAACCTGCACCTTGAATTGGGACCGGAAAATAAACGGCAGCCAGTGGAGCTCCTTAAACAAGGGAGTAGACCGCTCCTTATAACTAGCCCCAATTATTAATCTGGCTGTAGTTTCCGAGCCGTCTTCAAGGTTAGTCCCTCGTAGAGTGCATTACAGTAGTCCAGTCTAGAGGTAACTAAGGCATGGACCACCATGGACTTGAGTCCCAAGATATTTCATTATGTATGTTCTGTCGCACGCTGGGCTTGAAACGAATTGCTTTTAATACAGGACGTGTAACTTTAGCCCAGCGGGAAGCCAGGGGGCCTGAAGAGAAATTCTTAAGGATTTTCACCATGAACAGTCTCTAGAGGGCTTGTAAAATATCTTTTATTGATGAACAATCAACAGAAACTTCTTTTGTCTTCAAAGGGTTAAACAAATGCTTCCAGGCTTTGTGCAACTGATGGCTTCTAACTGTTACTTTACTCTAAAGGAAAATCCCTTTCCAAACTTCTCCCAGGCTAACTGTGATCCTAAACCTAACTGATGTGGGCTCAACTACCGGGCTGAACTGCATCTCAAAGCACAGAGTGGACCTACCAGTAGGCCTGTAGTCACTTCAGCTGGAGTTCTTAGATGTTCAAAGCTGTTTTTCCCTCCGAAATTCCTCAGAGCTTTAGGGCTGTTTCCCTGGGAATCTTTGGGAATCCTTTTGCTCTTAAGACTGTTCTCCCCCAGGAGGTCTTAAGGGTTGAAGCCTTTGTACAGGAGAAAGTCTGTACACGTCCTGTACATTGACTTTCCTTGCTGAGACTGACTGAAAATGGCTCCCTTCCCTTCTCAATTGTCCTGAACAGGGGGCGGAACCAAACTTAACGATGATGGACAGGGGGCCTGCCCTATAACTGCAAACTTTAACAGGAAGCCACCCTTCTGCAGAATCCCAAGCCTTGGGCTGCAAGCAAACACTTAATACAAGGCAAATAAAGTGGGAGCTTCTGGTACAGCTGTACCAGCACAATGTGCATATATGCAGATCCAGGTATTTAAAAAAATGTAGAAATCTGAACATTTCCTGTCCCAAGCAATATTTCTGGCTCTTAATAAAGGAAGTCTGGGTGAATGCTGCCTTCCTTGGAAGAATGCAAGGCAAGCAGTCTGGGAGGAATGAAATCCCCCCTGAAAGTGCATTCCAATAGGCTCTCTTTGCTGTCATCCAGTGAGCATGAGACAAATGCTAGCCTTTGTCTTCCTGTGACCCAGAATGGTCTGTCAGCTGTGCTTATAAGTGTCAAGTAACACAGAGCAGAGGAAAACATTCACACCCTTCCGCTTAAGGGCTGCCCTCTTCAACATCTGAACTGCATTGCTACATGGCTGCAATGGCTAATTATCAACCAAAGCTGGGCAATTGAGAAGCCTGGGCTTCCTGTAAATTCAAAAAGAAAAATGGGTTCCCCTAAAACTGTGGAGACCAAAATCCACTGATTGTGGTAATGTGAAAATAACTAAATTAACTCAATGTATATATTACAAACACACACACACACACACACACACACACACACACACACACACACACACACACACACACACATATATATATATATATATATATATATATATATATATAAACAGGACTGCCACATTCACATTAAGTAGAAACAAGTGGTTCTTCTCTTGAAGTATAAAACAAAGT